ATTTATAAAGAAAATAGATGTATTTGGTGGTTGGTAAATCTAAGATCCAGAGACTGCATCTGGTGAGGGTCATCTCATGGTAAAAGGTGTTACATGGCGAGAAAGGGTGAGAGGCAGTGGTGAGACTGCACAAGTCAGACAGAAAACGGGTGTCAGCCAAACGTATCCTTTTATTAGAAACCCAATCCCACGATAACTAACCCTTTCCCATGATAATGGCATTAATCTTTTCATGAGAATGCAACCCTTAGTCCTAACGCACCTCTTTAAGTCCTCAGTTCTTAATATTGTTACAATGGCAATTAAGTTTCCAACACATATGCTTTTGGACAAAACATTCAAACCATAGCACATACATGCTGGGGCTTGGGCAAGGGCAGGAATGTCACCTGATTCTCCAAATTTAAGTCAAAATTCAGACCCCATCCCAATAGAGTTGGTAAGTATGTACAGAGTTTTGTCCTTAGCATCTAACAGAAAATATTTTCCTAAAGAATTCACCTGAGCTTCTGAAATGTTGGAACCGAGTTCTAATCGTGATAAGTGGGTTTTAATTTTGTTTTTAACTTAAATGAACAACATGTAGTCTTTTTTTGTTTTGTTTTGTTTTTTGAGTTGGAGTCTCACTCTGTTGCCCAGATTGGAGTGCAGTGGCCACTCCTGGCCACTGCAGCCATGGCCAGCTGGGCTCCGGCGATCCCTCCATCTCAGCCTTCCGAGTAGCCGGAATTACAGGCATGTGCTACCACGCCCGGCTAATTTTTTTATTTACTGTAGAGATGAGGTCTCACTGCCCAGGCGGGTCTCGAACCCGTGGGCTCAGGCAATCCACTCACCTCAGCCTCCCAAAGGCGCGGGATTACAGGCTGAGCCACCAAGCCCGGCTCTGAAGGCTAATTAATTCCAAGTGGGTCTAGTTGCAGTTGTAGGCCGGAACACCCATATGTTTGTTCAACAGTAAGCAGTTTATTACTGAACAAAGTACATTATCCTAATCCTTGAGTGGACCTCTATTCTGTAAACATTGAAAAGTCAAGGCACTCATCTTTTGTCCAGTTTTCATTTTTGTATTTTGATACATTTGATTTATTAAACTTTACACTTTTAAATTCAGATTTCACTATTTTCCCACTTATATTCTATTTCCATTCCAGGAACTCACATTAAAGTTAGTCAAATCTTTAGGTTCCTTGTGGTTTCTTAGAATTTCCCTGTTTTTCATGATCTTGATTGTTTGGAGGAGTACTGGTCAGGTATTTTGTATGATGTTTTTCTCATGGTGTATTAGCTCATTTTGCATTGCTATAAAGGAATACCTGAGGTTGATAGTTTATTGTAAAAGAACTTTATTTGGCACACGATTCTGTAGGCTGTGCAAGAGGAATGGCATCAGAGTCTGCTCCTGGTGAGGTCTCAGGAAGCTTTTACTCATGGTGGAAGGCAATAAAAAGGAGCTAGCGTGTAACATGGTTAGAAAGGCAGCAAGAGAGAGAAGGGAAGTGCCAGATTCTTTTTAAACAACCACTTCTTGTGTGAACTAATTGAGTGAGAACTATCTCATCAACAAGGGGATGACACTGGAAGCTAAAATGTCTTAGCCCCCCAACTGACTGAACAGACCATCTCTTGGTCAAGAGGACACCAGAGTAACCTAGAAAACTGAGTTCTTGGCCATGACAGAATAGGAGGTGAGGATAAGGGTTTTCATGTCTTTTGCTTCACCTTCTGATGTCAGAGAACTGAAAACTCCACCCTTGGATCATGCTAACACAGTCATTTTTTGAACAAGTCCCATGAAAGGGCATGGAGCTCAATTGCCCATGTGTAGGTTTCTCCTCTCATAAATATTCATTACTCCTATAGCTTATTAAATATATACATTTGACCACCCCATTCAGCATAAATCCCTGTTCCCTTTTCCCCTCCCTTGAAGTGTCTATTTCTGGCTTCTGGCTGGAGTTATGCTTCCCAGTCTGTCAGAATGGCCACTCTGTAGGCTGCAAACTTTCATGAGAAATAAAGCTCTCTTTGCCAAATTTATGAACACCATCAATCTTCAGTTGACTACACCAAACTATTCATGAGGGATCCAACCCGATGACCCAAACACTTCCCACCAGGCCCCACCTCCAACATAGGGGATCATATTTCAACATGCGATTTGAAGGGTACAAACATTCAAACAATATCACATGGTTAAACTGGGAGTATACATTTTTATCTCTTCAGTAAACTTTGTCACTATTGCCAGAGTCTACCAAAATAAAAATATTTCTTTTTCATTCCTCTATAGGGGCACACACACTCAGTGAAAGCATGAGCACACCCTGGATATGGCCCCAAGAAGGGGGTTGTGGCCTGGCGAGGGGTCCTGAAAGTGGCCAACCCAGGATGTCCCCTTCCCCTGGGTCTTCATGCCTGAGGTTACGGGCAAAGTATTCTCCATACTTGTTACCCACATCTTGCAGCTGTTCATAGTAAATGTTCCTGTGTACCCTACCTTGAGGCAGTCAGCCCCTGGGGTTTGTTCTGACCAGATCAGGCACACCTTGATTAATGCTCATAACCTTTGGTTACCTTTAGGTCATTATAATACTAAAAAAATCCCACCCCTAGAGAGAACTTGCAACCATTTTGTGTACATGTGACATTTGTACAAGCACTTTCTCACACTATGCCTGCACACTAGAACTCTACCCTTTTTCTCACTTAACCTCACACTCTGCCCTATGTAAAATGCTATATTATCTATGTGTCTTTTATAATCAGGAGAGGCTTTTTCCTGTCCAGAAAGCTGCTCCTGGTCCACCTTCTCTGTAAATTTCTGAATAAAGTTCATGTGTTGTCTATTGTTTCCGGGTCATTACTTCAGCCTCTCAGACACAGCGCATTCTCTTTCGGAGTCTTTGTGGGAGGGGAGGCTGACACCTCCTCTGTTTAACAATTCTTTGGTTTACCTGACTATAGCACAAAATTCAAATTACTCAGCATGGCATACAAAGCTTTTCAAAATCTGACTGTTGCCTTCCTCTACAGTCTAAAGTGCTACCTTACAAGTCATTTGAGTGCTATCCAGAATTAAAGTCTTAACAGTGTTGCAATGCCTTGGCTTCATTCAGGCATTCATTCCTGGCTAGCTTCAGTGGATTCTTCCCCTCACCCCTCACCAAGAACATTGTTCCCCTCTCCCACCATTCAAGCCACCTGCCTTTTGTCCCATACATTTTTCTAAGTTTCTCTAATCTAGCATTTACCACTGTGATCATTCATTCATTCAACATATATTTGTTGTTCACTTTGTGGACACTGTTGTATGGTTGAGGATATGTTAAAAAGACAAGATAAATCACCTGAATGTTCATTTATGTGAGCATCAAGATCCTAAAAAAAAAAAAAAAAAAAAATAGACAAGATAACATTACTGCCCTCATTAAGTTTACATTTTGGTGGAGCAGGGCACATTTGTAAATAAATAAATGAATAGCTTTCTGCTTTGTTATGAAGGAAACAAGTAAGGAGCTGAGATTATGAAGTACAAAGAATATGGGAGTGAAATATACTTCAGAGTAGTCTGGGATCACCTCTGTATAGAATATTATCACTGTTGGTTTACTTGGCCTTCAGCTCTTCCTTTCTCTTAGCTGCTCAAAGTGAGAAGAGGTCTAACTCAGCTTTGTATCCCCAGCACCTAGCTTATTCATTAAACTAATGATTGTAGAATAAATGCACTGAGAATACCATCCAAAAATTTAAAATCAGTTGCCTCCAACACTTTTCCTAGATCTTCCCTTAAGACATTTTTCAAACCTGTTTCTAGAAAAACAGAGCATTAACACTCATAATATTCTCATTTGAGTCAAGTATGGTAATGAGGAAACTTGCAACTGTCTTAGGATGCTCGTATTATCTTTCTACTTCACATATTATCATTTAGAGGTAAACTTAGTCTTCAAAATCTAGACCTCCTGGATTCTTCTGGTGTTGAGTAAATGGGCTGGGTAAGGCCGAATAAACCCTGAGTGGGGTGTGGGGAATTCGCTGTAAGGACATCCTAAGAATGGCTTTAAAATTTCTGCTTGGACCTTGTAGAACTCAGTCAGATGGCAGTGTAATCATTTTAATCAGTTGATAATTTGCTCTAGCAGTTTAAAAAATAGTTTTTCACCATTTTACTTTTTCTACTGCATGACAGGTTAATGTTTTGTAAATAAGAAGTGCTCAGTGGTAGGACCCCAGAAAAGTGTTTTCGGAAATCGAGATTCTGAGGCAGTTGGCATTTAGCTTTTCCCAGGTCGCCCTTATTACTGAGGGCCTTGATCAGTAGTGGAGAGGTAACTTACTCATCATTATATTTATCCTATATCAGCTTTAATGCCTTAAGAAAAACATATTTACTAAGCTATGTTGTGTACATCTGTATCATACAGTGTTTGAAACACTCAAGTTTCTGGAAAAAAAGATAAACTAGGAAGCTTTAAGATTAAAAAAAAAAAAAAAGAAATACAAGGCTAACAAAGAGGCATGATGACCTTCTGTGATATACCCAGTCAGTGACCCATTTTTCAGTAAGTTGGCAGCAGCATTTTGTTCAGTTGGGGGGAAAACATAATATATGGGTATAACTTCAACTCAACTAGAGTTGGTCGTATTGATGACTTTTTAAAAATTAAAATAATCTATCAATTCTGAACCTGGAAAAAAAAAGAAAAAATTAAAATCAACAAGGAGAAATCTGGCACAACTAACTCCATATGCACTGATGCAAAAAAAAAAAAAAAAAAATTCTGCTTGGAGAAGAAGGCTTCAGGGTGGCTTTGTCCTCTAAGGCTACCTAGGCAGCCCTCAGAAAGAAGAGCTAGGGAAGGGCCAGAGGGGCCGGTGGATAAGCACTAGGATAAAACTTCCTTCGCACTGGCTTCTCCCTTCCAGACCACCTGGCACTACAGGAACCGCCCCAGCGACTACGCCCCGCCCACTTCCGGGTTGTCGCCGCCTCCGTCGCCGTCGCGTGCGTAATGACATCTCAGTCTCCTGCAGACCCCGGAAGTGCAACTCGAACTTGGTCGGGGCGCGGATCCCGAGAGGGAAAGTCATAACAACCGCACGAGGGAGTTCGACTGGCGAGCTGGAAGGCCACGCCTCCTCCCGCCTCCCCCCGCAGCCCTGTAGCTGGGGGCAGAGCTCAGGTAGGACCTGCGTTTGCGGGGATGTGAGCTCCGGGGGCAGGCCTGGCTCGAAATGCGAGGAGGGGGCCGGCCTGGGTCGGTCTCGGGCGGGGTCGTCGGCCCCGGGGCCCGAGGCTGTCAGGAGCCACGCTGCGATCCCAGCGGACGCCTCTGCCTCGGGTCCGGGACCTGGCGGATGGGCAGGTCCCTCCTGCGGTTTCCACTCCCGAGGCGTGAGCGACACGTGTGTTCCCTGGATGACTTTTTTCCTGTCTGGGCGTCCCGGGTTCTGGGAGCCCCTGGAGACCTTGAGAGTCATGGCCCCCACCTCCGCTTTTCGGGAGGGGAGGTATTGCGATGCTCTGGTTCAGTTTTTTTTTCCTTCTGTAAAAAGTGTTACCAACTTCCAGCGCCTTAACAAAAGTCATTCAGTGCAGATGGATTCAAGTGCAGTTATAAAATGCTCTCAAAACTTGTAACATGCATGGGTGTTGGTGGAATGTTTCTCTGGGATGCAATATGAATTCTGAGTTGAACACATTTGACTTTGAAATAAAGTTAAGTATGTTTTGGAAGCAGCCTTCTTTCTCCCTCATCCAAGTGTTTAACACATTCTGGTGCTCCAGGTCGTTTATCTGTTGGGCCAAGTAGCTGGTTACTTATATTTTGGTTATACTGTATTTAGAGACATGCAATGTTGTTGCGTTTGTTCATGTCCCCTAAATCCTCAAAAAAGGAGGCAGGCTCGGTGACTTTTGCCTGCAATCCCAGCACTATGCAAAGGAAGCTGAGGCAGAGGATCGCTTGACCTGGAGTTGGAGATCAGCCTGGGCAACATAGCAAGTCCTCGTCTCTATTAAAAAAAACAAAACAAAAAACTGAGCAAACCTCTGTGGTATTTGTCTGCAAGTGACTTGGATTGTTTATCAAAATAAGGGCAATGTGATGTTTGTCATGCAGTACATGGTGTCTTTTTGTTGTAAAGCAGTGTAAGAGGTATATTCTTTATCCCACATTGTGAGGGGGCAGATATATTGTTTTCTTTTAGTGTATTTAGAAACTGAGTCAGAGAGCATTTTTGTTTTATTACTAGTATTTTTTTTAGGATAGGATCTTGCTCTGTAGCTCAGGCTGGAGTGCAGTGGCATGATCATAGCTTCCTGTAACTTCAAACTCCTGGGCTCAAGGGATCCTCCAGCCTCCTGAGTCTCTTAGTAACTAGGACTACAGGGGTTCACTACCACACCTGGCTAATTTTTTATTTTTGTGGAGATAAGGTCTTGCTATGTTGCCCAGGCTGGTCCTGAACTCTTGGCCTCAAATGATTCTCCCACCTCAGTCTCCCAAAGTGCTGGAATTACAGGTGTGAGTCAATGCACCAGTCCATGAGAGCATTTTTTTGACATGCATAATTAAGGTTTTAGTGTCAGTATTGGTACCAGGCTTCTTTCAGACTTTTAAGCTAGGTGTTCCTTCTGTTTAACCAGTGAAACCTACACTGAAGAGTTAGGGATGCTCTGGATGGCCTTGAGACTGTGGCTGCTACAAATGGTAGAATGGTACCAGGACCAAAAGGGAAATAGGATTTATGAAGCCATGAGCATTCATCTATTAATTCATTTGACACCTATTTACTGGCCACCTTCAGTGTGCCAGGTAGTGTTCCAGGTGCTGGGAAGACAGTAGTGAATAAAATAGAAAGTCATTCTGGGGATAAAGAAGGATAATTAACAATTAGATATATAATAGGTAGTGTTAAGAGCTATGAAAAAAAATAAGCCAAATAAAGGGGAGAGAGAATGATGGAGGATTCTATTTTAGGTAGGACGGTCAAGCTTAGCCTCTCTGATAAGAGGACATTCGAGTGGAGATCTGAATGAAGTGAGGGGTGAGCTCTGCAGGTATGTGGGAAACGGGTTGAACTGGAGCAAGTTTGTTATATGGAATGGCAAGGATATAGGCATGGAGGCATCAGGGCTTAACAGTCTTGATAATGAGGTTCACTAATTTGGTGTGGGCATGAAGGATTTTATTTTTAATAACCTATTTTTCTCAGCTTTTCCAGACAGGCCTTTGTGAAGATGTCTGGTATCCGTAGATATATAAAGATGTTTCCATGCTGTTCAGTGAGCTCTAGCAAAATTAAGCACTATTTACTTAGTGCTTGTGTGTAACTTGTGCTGCCTCTGTTTTGAGAGTCACATTGTGTAGTCATCAATAACTAAGTACCAGTACTTTTCTGCCCTATGTCATCTTTACTTTTCATTCATTTTTTTTCAATTGTAGCAAAATATATACATAACATAAAATGTACCATACTAACTTTTTTTTTGAGTCAGGGGTCTCACTCTGTCACTCAGGCTGGAGTGCAACAGCACGATTAGAGCTCACTGCAGCCCCTCGACCTCCTGATCTCAGGCAATCTTTTCATCTCAGGCTTCTAAGTAGCTGGGACTATAGGCACACACCACCACTCATGGCTAATTTTTGGATTTTTTGTAGAGACAGGGTTTCACTATGTTACCTAGGCTGGTCTTGAACTCCTGGTCTCAAGCACTCCCCTTGTGTAGGCTCCTGCTGTGCTGGGATTACAGGTGTGAACCTTTGTGCCTCGCCAAACCATTTTTAAGTGTGTGGTTCAGTAGCATTAAGCACACTTACATTATTGCTCATCCATCACTACCATTCTTCTCCAGAATGTTTTTATCTTTCCCTATTGAAACACTGTACCTGTAAAACACTAACTCCTCATTTTCTGCTGTCCTCAGCCCCTGGCAACCACCAGTCTATTTTCTGTCTCCATGAATTTGACTACTCTAGATACATCATATAAATGCAGCCATACCATATCTGTCCTTCTGTGAATAGCTTATTTCCCTTAGTATCATGTCTCTGAGGTTCATCCATGTTATAGTATGAGTCAGAATGTCCTTTGTTTTTAAGACTGAATTTAATAATTCATTCATTTTGTTTATTCATTCATCCACAGACACTTGGGTTGCTCCCACTTTTTGCTGACTGTGAATAATGCTACGGTGAACATGAGTACAAAAATACCTGTTTAAATCCTTGCTTTCATTCTTGTGGATATTTACGCAGAAGTGAAATTGCTACATTACATGGTCATTCTGAATTTAATTTATTGAGGAATTGCTGTACTCTTTTCCAGAGTGGCTATCCCATTTTACCTTCCCACCAGCAATGTGCAGGGCTCCCAGTTCTTCACATCCTCACCAACATTTCTTGACATCCTTGCCAAACACATTTTCCGTTTTTCTGATAATAGTCATCCTAACGGATGTAAAGTAGTATCTTCCTGCAGTTTTGATTTGTGTTTTTCTCATCATTGGTGATGTCAAGCATCTTTTCATGTGCCTTTTGGCCACTGGTTTATCTTCTTTGGAATTCTGTTAATTTATCTTAAAATTTCATTTTAATGAAAATTTTTTGGATTTTATTTGGTGAATTTTTAAAGAGTTAAGACAGCCATCATGTCTTTTGTTGCTTTTTTAATCCTTTACTACTATAATTGTAAAAACCCTCAATTGTCTTTAGATCAAGTATCTGCAGTAACTCCAAATTTAGAAACAAAAGAAGCCACAAAACATCTTTTGCAACAAATGAATTTGGAGTCAAATTATGATGAAAACAGTTCAGAAAAGCCAAAGACTGTCCTAACTTGCTTTATTGTTTTCCCCCTGAAGGAAAGGAGTGTAATGATTGGCTAACTGTGCCTGTGCAGCAGATCTCTTTTGTTGGGTAGCTGAAAAGAACAGGAAACAGAAGAGCCAAAAATGTTGAAAAGACAGAGAAAAGACATGCTGGATAGACGTATAGCATTTGGATGTGGCTAGGTGGAGAGTAGCAAAGGAGATCAGTAATAGTAAAAGATGAGCACCAGAACTGACAGCAGAGGACAGGGGACCCAGCAACAAAGTGACAGAAAATAGTATAGCTCTACAGACTGGAAGGGATTGGAGGATAGGGTAAGAGATTGCAATTTGCCAGCTTCATCTCAACATGTGGTTTTGAAGTGAGACACTTGGCCCTGAGTAATCCAGTAAGACCTACCATATATTAAATAATGTATGCCAGGCTATATAGTTCAACAGTCAGTGTTTGGAAGGTGTGCACTGTATACAATTCTACAGGAATAAGCCTAGTTGTTCATACCATGTACCACATCATGCCTTTTATGGAGTGATGAGATTTGAGTAATTTAATTTAGTGTGTAATTTAACATGTCCACCATTGTTAAAAATTTTATTTTATATGATAGGGACCCCCAAAAAACTGGAATTTATTTATAAAAAATTGTATATTTCTTCTTACATGTTTAAACTTCAGTCACTTTCAAAGTACTCTGTGTTTGATACAATATACCTATAAAGATGCTTTTTCCAGTGCTCAAAATAGTTTTTGTATCATCAATGTTGATGCCTTTTAGAGCTTCTCCCATTTTTTGTTTCACCTCTTCTACATTGGCAAAACATTTTCCTTTGAGAACTTTTTTTATCCTGGGAAACAAAAAAGTTGCTTGGGGCAAGATTGGGTAAGAAGGCAGGATGACGCATGGGGGCCATGTTATTTTGGGTCAAAAGCTGCTGAACACTCAGTGAAGTGTGAACAGGTGTACTCATAAATTACCCATCATGAAATGGGCAAATGCACTGAAAGAATTAAAAAAAAAACAACAAAACCCTAACTGAAGCCAAACACAGCTTCTCGCAATGTTATCTGGTATACTGATGCTAATGCGTTCCTAGAACACTTACCTAGACTGTAGTATAAGGGGCCTGCCCTCCAAAAGATAATTTCATTTTTTTATTGAGTTGTTGTAGAATCTCTTCAAGAAGGAAGGGACTTTTTTTTTTTTTTTAAATTAAATCCAGGTTATCCAGTTACCATTTAGGTCAAGGTAACATATCTTTTTTTTTTTTTTTTCCCCCAACAATGGGATGTTTTGTACACCACATCATTTATTGGATACTACATTTAGCTATTTCAGTTATAAAACTCAT